GTGTTAAAACTATAAATAGAACCAGCTTGTATAGACTAGTTGCGGAAACTGAACACGGTGTATAATTCCCTAAAAGTCTACAAACCAAAGCGACATCTATTTTTACTTTTTGTACATTTATGTAACGCAGATTATATTCCGGATATTTGATTCTATACCGGTTTTTTTATAGTAAAAATTGAAGGATAATAAGATATAGAGAATGTTAAATTCTACTAGTGCATAGTTTTCATTTTCTAGTCTTCTTGGTTTAGACCGCTTGCTTTCAATGTTCTAAGGCGGCGTATCCAGTAAGATTCCTTTTCCTTCCTGGTTTCGGAACTCCAGCTGTGGTTGTTAGCAATAGCGATAAGTATTATATCACTGAAAGTGTGGCCAGGGGAGAAGAAGTGTTCTGCGACCGGGCTTCTGTACAGCTTTTTTGTCATCCAATCAGATCTATGAAGGTTTATCCTTATGTGTAGCTTTCCAATTTCTATGACATACTGAAGGATACAGATCTTACATGTGATGAGATAAATCACATTCTCTGTTTTGCACGTTTTGTTTGGACCATGTATGTTTAGTTTTTCTTTAGTCACTGTGCTAGTGAATGTCTTGATCTCTATCATATGTTGACAGGTTTTGCATCTTTTATCGCCACATGGTCCAAATTGAACCAACCTAGTCAATCTGGACCATGTGGCGATAAAAGATGCAAAAACTGTCAACATATGATAGACACCAAGACATTCACTAGCACAGTGACTAAAGAAAAACTAAACATACACGGTCCAAACAAAGACTCATTAAGAGTCGAAAGCGCTTAGGCTAGTTAGTTACTAGTTTCGTACTGTTCGTCGTCAGTTTTTTGCATATATATATATATATATATATATATATATATATATATATATGTATATGTATATATATGTATATGTATATATATATATATATGTATGTATGTATGTATGTATGTATGTATGTATGTATGTATGTATGTATGTATGTATGTATGTATGTATGTATGTATGTATGTATGTATGTATGTGTGTGTGTGTGTGTGTGTGTGTGTGTGTGTGTGTGTGTGTGTGTGTGTGTGTGTGTGTGTGTGTGTGTGTGTGTTGGAAACATAACTGACATTTGGTCTGAAGGATGCAACAATTTTCAACCAATTAAAGTTACTTCATTTGTACAGATTTGTGTGTGTGTGTGTGTGTGAGAGAGAGAGAGAGAGAGAGAGAGAGAGAGAGAGAGAGAGAGAGAGAGAGAGAGAGAGAGAGATCATCATAAAGTGCATTATTTATTCGAAAACTGTTTTTGCGTATGTGTGTGAGTGCTTCAGATCTTGGGAGGTGGGATGTGGATATTTTTGTAAATACCGACCTTTTCCTTACCTCCATCGCTGGCTGTAATTAATGATCCTCAGATCTTCTCTCGATAGTAACTCATGTGTACTAAAGTGCATGTATTTTAGAAATATGTGTATATGCAGTCTTAGAAAGAACAACCCATGCAAGATTGTCTCGCGAAATGATGTATGACTTTTAACGGTTTTCTCACGATAGACAGCTATTCGAGGTACAGGCTGTCTGGGAGAATTATCTATAATAAATGTCTAGTATCGAGAGACACCAGCCCATATTTCGAAATTAAGACAATAATAGCATTGAAAAACACCGGTCGCATAGCGGGGGAAACTATGAAAAGGACCTTCCGTGACAGTATCTTATCCGTTTGTGCGCAAGTGGTGGATTGTGAACTGCACTTGTTGATAAGAACGAGATAAATGGTACAAAATTTATGACCTGTCCTCTACATTCTTAAAGACGTTAGATACGACAACGCTTGAAGAATGAACAAAGAAACAAGGAAGACAAGAGAAGTCATCTATTGAGTGCATTTTACAGTTAAACGCGTCTTTAATTTAAATAGACGTGCGTGTAAGTTTGCTTCGGCACTTTGGAGGTGGAGTATATATTTTCAAAAATACCGATCCCTTCGTTATTGTCAGAAAAAAAATTTGCTCAGATCAGCTAAAAGTAACTTTTCGTACATTGCATGATGTTTTTCCCAAGCCTAAATGTTCCTCGACTTGTCAATCAATATGGCTTCATCTGTAATTCATATACTCATAATAGACTACAATTAATTTTCACAACATTACAACAGTCACTTTTCCCTTCCTTATTTGATGTATCCTATCTCCCATGATAATTGGACGTACTTTCATTTTTAACTTTAGTCGAAGAAGTCCTTGTTAACCTAAATGCTAAATCTTATTGGCACGTATAAGTTTATTTCTTACACCGCTATGATATTGTACATGAAATAAATTAAAACGTTTGTGAACCTTGCTCTCCTAGCAAGAAATTATCATTTGAGTAATTTGTTTATATTACAGCATGGCAGAACGGTTGTACAAACACAGAGAACAAATGTATACAATTTTGAACAGTTGTCTAACATTTTCCCCTGGAAAAATTCCTTTGTTTCCATCTCTGACGAGGTAGAAGTTTATTCAGTAATGTATTTGTCCTTACTCTTTAGGTGGCGCTCTACAGTTTCGTATTTAGCATAGGGTTAAAATTTTAAAGAAAAAGAGTTTCCCCGGGTTGCCTCACTAGTTATACTGGTTATTTAAAAGAGCCTTTGTTTATCTTAGGTGTTGTTCAAAGAACCTTTAATTCCCTTTATTTTGATGTATGATTGATTTGTGTAATATGGGTTAGAGAATATACAGCTTGGCCTTACTCCAGATGTGCACCTTTCAAAAACGTGCTAGCTCTACTTGCTCATTTTCACTTCTCGAACTTCAGAGATAAATTGTAAATAAAGAGCCGATAACTTTTTTTACATTTTATGTATTTGGTAATTCAGTCATTGCACTTTTAGAAGCTGGTATTATCTAGTTTGGCAAAATTCATTTTCCAATATTTTAATAGCTTCCAAGAATAGTGTACTTTAGACAAATTTAGGTTGATTTTTGGAGCACAAGGGAGCAGTGATTTTAGTTAGCAGTGTCCCCAGATCATTTAAAATTTCCAAAAGAACAATATCCAAAGAAATTTCATCCACATTATATGAAAGTAGTATATAGGTATGCCAACATTCTCTGCACTGTGCATGTTTAAAATGCAAACAACTTCACCTTACATACATCACTCTCTCAAAAGTACACAATAACTGGTGAGCGCCACCTTAGGCGTGAAAGTGGTTCAAACTGACACGCAGCTCACCAAACAGCATTCAAGAGCCCTGTATGTCCAAATATATATCCAAAAAGCAACGAGGTTACCTTTCAAATTATTATAACTTGAGAACAGTTTAACTGCATTGATAAGTAGAGTATACGCTACTGACTGCGATATTGATAAGATATTGTCATTTTTTTAAACAAATAGAACATGAAAAAACTACATCGATTCTGGTTCTTCTCTTTACATTATTCGATGACAGAAAACAATGTCGGACTCACAGTATTCCTTTCGGATACAAAATTGACAAATTCGATCGGCTTACGGCATGTATTTGATACAATTCAATTGTCATTGCTCGTATAAAATTGCAAGTAACTGATACCGGCTAAGAACATCACCAGATGGTTGCCTTCCAGTGTCCTTTATAAATGCATTCAACTCCCATTTCAGCCGCATTATACAACACAAACGGTGTTATCAAAAAAAGATAAAGCCAACACAAACAAAACCAAAACACATTATAATTTGGAACGTTATACATGATTCAAATTGCAAAAAAGTTCGTTGTTGAATATAGTTTATAAAGATATTAATTTATGTAAACAACTTCAGGATCTTTGTGACTTGCTAATTATATATATATATATATATATATATATATATATATATATATATATATATATATATATATATATATATATATATATATATATATATATATATATATATATATATATATATATATATATATATATATGCAAAGTGAATCTCTAACCACTACTGTTACTATATTTATTGCTGCTGATACTACTACTTCTAATAATTATAATACTAATAATAATAATATTAATCCTATCACAATTACTACTGACCGATCCTGTGGTCAAAGTGGACAGACCGTCGGCCTTGAATGCAGCAGATAGTGGGTTCGAACCTCGGATTAGTCTTACCGAAGACTTATAAAAAATAGTACTTAGGCGTTTATAATTAAGAGGCTAGTTTTAGGACTGGTTGTCATGGTTTTAGGATAATATGACAAGGTGAGACATGATGCTACATTTCTGCGGCATGATGCCCCAGTGATAGACATCACTATAAACTGTTACACTGCAGACATCATAGCAATGAAGCTGAACAAGTGTTAAAGCTACGTTAAAAATCCAAGTCACACACACTATTACTGCTTTTAATATATATATATATATATATATATATATATATATATATATATATATATATATATATATATATATATATATATATATATATATATATATATATATATATATCAACATTTCTTGCTGTAATATCAAATAGCGAATTTTTATGTATTATAACGTATTTGTAAATGTATTTATGACGAATCCCAGTTTCAAATTATCCGATGTTATAGATAGTTAAAACATAAAATATATTTAAATATATTCTAGAAAGTCTATCGCATTACAGTACATGCTAAAACTATTAGTCATATTTATTTTCATTTTTAGAAAACTCTGAATCAACTTTTCCGTAGTTCTCTCTATGTTTTCATCATGAAGATGTATTAGGACGATGTATGTTAAAAACGAAAAGATAATTGTCATATGACATTCGAGTATATTTTTGTGTCAATGGAACAAAGATATATGTAATATTTTGATGTGATTATGATTTTTAACGTAAGTTTGACAATTTTTCAGCCATATCGCTACGATGTCTGTAATGTAGCATGATGTCCCACCCAGTCACATTATCCTGACACCAGGACAACCAGTCTTAACACTAACCTCTTAATGCTGAGCGCCAAGCCAGGTTGCTGTTAATACCATTTTCGTAAATCGTTGGTATGACTCGACCGGGGATCGAACCCACGACTTCCCGCATCCGAGTCGGACGCTCTAACAACTAGGCCACCGTAGCGATCTAATTTTTTGTTGTTGATAATTATACACGAAGATATATCCTTTACAATATTAATTTAGTTTCTAGCAAATATAGCCTTTGTAGTTTGAGTCAATATTGTAGCTATTTTTTAAATTTATTAAACTTTGATTTTTGCAAATAAGGCGCGATGATGAAAGGCTCGTATTTTTAGCAAGAATGAAAGTTTAAAAGAGTGGTAGTTCTTTGAATCATTATGGCCAAAAGTCGTTTTTTCAACAGAGGTTTTTCACTGGCTGTTTCAAAAAGTAATTGGAATTCACCTATGAAAGAAGCATAAATAATATTGGTTTGTGACCGCACTGAATCTAAGATCTGAGTCAGCAGAGATGTCAGAATAGGATCGACGTCACATAAGTTTAGGTTGCTCTTGAACACAATTGTATACACCTGATCCAGAGATAGATTCAACTGCTTTTAAAGATTGATGTTGATATTCTCTGTTACATCTATATAAAGTTAATTGAAATTGTGTTTTCAAATTTATTTTTTTAAATGAATCGAAATTTGTCACCGTAGACATTTGCATAAAGGTCCGAAAGGTCGACCAAAGAAAATGTTGTTGGAAGTGGTGTGCATTTATTCATTGACATTAGTTTGTCCGTGATCTCAAAAAGCTCTTTGAGCTGAAATTGTTTATTTTAGTGCTGTAGTAAGCTGATTTTCCTGCATGATCTACGTTTTGTGACATTCTTTTTACCAGCTTCTCATATCTGCATCTACACAAACCGTTAACACGGTATATTACTGACGAGAGGTATTTTCAAAAACCCTGCCTTTCATTGGAATATGCATAACTTGTACACTTTCGGAAATAAATTCGTCAAATAGTACTTACAAAACGTGGACATTTTTATATACACAACAATAGCTTAGTACATACGAAAAAGGATATGTTCATTATACAATCTTGATAAGCTATATACGAAAAGGAGACATCTTCATGCAAACTATCATGAAGTGGTACTTGAAAAACATGGTCATATTCTCAGACTATAATAACATAGCGAGTATAACACAAGCACAGATACACTGTAATAATTTTGAGTATGTGATATTTGCATTTGCATCTCCGTTTATAGTATTCTTAGAGATTAGAGATTATTTTTTGCTTAGGGAACTGGTGTTTGGGAAAATATTTCTGAAACCGATCAATTAGCCGATGTCAAAGGCTAGACATCAAAATGGATAGTATTCTCGATACATTATGGTTGTAAGGATTTACATCACAAAATGGATCCTCCCTAGAAATTGCAGTGATATCTAAAGTGCAAGTGTTTAGCAATTGAGATAGGAATAATTCTTTGTATTAGGTGTTTAGCTCCTATTTGGGATGTATGGCGTCAATTACCAATCTTCGGCTTCGAAAGATTTACTTAAGAGTCATACAAATGTGCAGCACGAAACCCAATGCAAATGTGAAATTTACGTTTTGTGACGTGTGATCCTTAAGAAATTTAATAACTGGGAATTTGTTCGCTTCGAACAATTTTAGATGACAATGATCAATTTTTAAAAGGTCCATCGAAAAATGGAAACTATGAAAAACTACATGGTTGTGGAGGGTGCTCCCAATATTTTGTTTAAACATTTATATTAGTCCCACCCATGGTTAGATGGCTAAATATACAAAAGTTTTAAATTTAATGAATAAGAATTTAATAATAATTCAATAATTAGATTATTCAAATTTTCAATTACACTCCTTCTGCTCGACCCTTTAATAAGCATATTGCTTCACCTGGTTAGAAGTGTGGGATTGATTTCCATATGTTTTTGTATTTCTACTAAACTATTGTGTCCATTCTCTCGTCCATTTCTCCCATGTCCTTCTTCGTTAAATCCCCGAACTTCCCCCAGATTCCTTCTCCTCCTTCTTCTAGACTTCTGCTCCTCCTCCTCCACTCTATCTTCCTAGGCTACACTTCTGTCGACTTCGACTGTCTTGGCTACAGTATCAATTCCGTCTCCAACTCTTAAAGACTTGGAACCCAATGGAAACGAAAGTTCTCTATCTCCGAAAGAGCTTTCTGTCAAAACACATTTTTCTTAGCCGTCTCTTCTCACACTATGCACTGCCTACCATCAGAAACCGGTTATTAAACTTTTTCGATCATGTATTCGTTCATATCGAGATATCAAATTACTCTTTTATGGTAAAACAAACCTCATAATACAGCACTGTCTCAATTACTTTCTATACATACATCAATAAATTCCGTTACATCAATACCGTTACATTAGACATTATGACAATAATTAGACGCATTTCTTTTACAATTCGTACAAAGTACGCTATATTCAAATATCCATTCTCTGATATATGCATAAGTCCATAGTAACTAATTTTACAAACATCAACCATGTTTAAGAATTTACAATTAAAGCATGTGTAAATTTTAACATAACGCATCAAAAAATGCGACAAGTTACTACGAAGTAATCTAACAGCGAATTATCAAATTAATTCTGAACACAAGCTAACAATTTACATAATTCAGCCTCGAATTTGATTATTCTCTATGTAAGGCTCAAGCCCATTTCTGAAATACGCATTTAAATGAAACACCGCAAAGGGAATTCTAGACGATCCTAGTAAATAAGTGTGCATACTACAAACAATGACAATTATGATGCCGTAATATTCTGCCAAAATTAAGCGTATAACTTACTGACCTTATCGAAGCTTTTCCTTTCCTAAGAATCTACCTCTAAGTTCTGCCTGTAGATTACGAGTGCCTTCTTTCTCGGAGTAAACACCATTGATCTGCAATCCTTCCAGACGAATAGTAACTTATTCTTTACGATTTGGAAAGGTCCCATTCGGGTCTGAAATGTAATCGCGCCTTTACCGGTCAATATCCCTCTCGCTGTCTGTCAGAGCAAGTGGCGTTCACCCCGTGTACTTTCCTTTTGATTCTGGAACTAACCGTTAACATATATAGGTGTGATAAAGCACACCTTTGTTAAGCAACGCGACAGGTCGCCTTTGCCGACTCTAGATGTGGTCTCTTGCTTGTCATGGTAACCTTGCGTAAGAGTTCAACATTAACACCGCGACAATCTTTAGAGATCAAACACAAGGCCGCAGAAATATTCACGAGACAGTCAGAATATAAATTGCACATGACTTTAGATGGGGCTTAACAAACGCGATAGAAACATCGACGTAATCTAGGCTCATGCAGATATATTTTATTTGCTATCTTGCGTGTTATAATAAATTCTTGGCAAGGCACATGTGAAACCAGGAGAATTACAAAATGTGGACAGTGTTCATACAACCATGACATCACATTTCAAGAACTGGGACATACTATACACACAACCATGATACAGTATCTACAACATGAGTATATTTTTACAAGAATAACAGTGGTATCATACTTAAAAAATTTAAATAATATTTATATAAAAACCAATTAATATAAATAAATTTTAAAACCTTTCATGCTGAAATAAGACATTTCATTAACAAATAATTGCTGTGTTTGATCTTGAGGAGACAGTGTCATGCCATTAATTAGATGAATTCCATTTAAAATATATACAATATAGCTTCACCCCTTTTTGTACTGCAATCCTGCTCTAAGAAAGAAACCAAACTATTAATACCTGAACTATTGTCCAAACCACTGCAATGTGTCATATCTGATGATATGTTTGTTATTTCAGTGTGTAATATTTGCGTCAATCAGAATATTGAGAAATGTTTTAATTGGTCTCCATAATTATGATTCCTTAAGGAAAAAAAAAGAATGAAAAAGGAATTAAGAAGCACAAAAGGTACATTGCTATAGTGCATAGATAGATAGATAGATAGATAGATAGATAGATAGATAGATAGATAGATAGATAGATAGATGGATGGATGGATGGATGGATGGATGGATGGATGGATGGATGGATGGATGGATGGATGGATGGATGGATGGATGGATGGATGGATGGATGGATGGGTGGGTGGGTGGGTGGGTGGGTAGGTAGACAGACAGACAGACAGACAGACAGACAGACAGATAGATAGATAGATAGATAGATAGATAGATAGATAGATAGATAGATAGATAGATAGATAGATAGATAGATAATCACAATGCAAACATAAGTCTAAATAGACGTGGCCTGTGAGTTGATGACCAAGGCATTTTATTGCTCGGTTCTTGCATTACACATATTTCTCAACGACACTTCTTTTCTCAGATGGAATCAGTACACAATTAATAAAATCCGGTTCAGTACCCACGAATGTAGTCCCAGTCTATTTTTAGATCACTTTTTCCGGTCTAAATTTGGTGGTGATACTAGAGTTAGATTTTGGCATTCTTGGTAAGGATTTAAAGGCAATTGATTATTCTTTAAAATGTGATCTTATGGTGTGGTTGTCTGTGTGTGTTTCGGCGACAGTGCACATTGAGTAATAAGGTCATGGTGATGATCCGGAAGTGAAATCTGTGTTCCGTTGCCTGGTGTTTTGTTTACAATTCAGCCTCTCAAAAAAATGCAGGTCAACCCTTGACAAGAACTAAACCGTTAAGTTATCTTTGAAGGTATTTTAGATTAACATATGATTTGTATTGATTGTCACACAGTGGAAAGTTCAGTACTGAGGAACAAATGTAGAGACCGTATAGTAAAATTAATTGTGTACTATGGCCTGTCAGTAAAAACTTTAAACTGATATAAATTTTTTATTATTAATGATATATACATGAAATGTTAATATGTTATGTATATTGACTTTAAAAATATAAAAATAAAATTAGAAGTAAAAAAATAATTTTAATTTTAAAAATTTAAATGAAATTTAAAAAACAATTAAAAAATAAAAAATTTCCACCAAGTATACACATATATAATATTTTTTGGGAATGATATTAAATGATATCAGCATATATATACTCCTACACCATATACAAGCTCAAATGATGGATATTTGTCAAATTTGATCAGAGAAAATATCTTTATTAGTCAAAATG